TCTGCACCAGATGCCAGTTCTTCAGTGCCTACCACCAATATTTGTTGTCCTGAGATCACAACTCCATCATCCAGCAGTTCTCCTCCGTTACTAGTGAACAAGTTACAAACGGCCTCTCCCAGCAGCACTGGTAGGCCCGTTTTTACATTTTCATCTCCAATTATAATATCTACAGAGGCAGTTGTACTACCTCCATCATTTACTCCATTTAAATTTAGTGAGCCTACTGCAAAGACAGAACTCTTTGGCCCCCGCAGGGCTTCAGAACCAGCTCTAAAGAGTTCATCTCAAGACATCACTGCAGGGAGCAGAACAAAGAGGCAAAATGGAGGCTTGGAGAGCCTTGCGACACCTGCAAAACTCCCTAAACATGCAGGTGTTCTAGATGTTCAGAGAAGCCCTGTAGGCCTCCCTTGTAAAAGGGCAGATTCTCTTGCCACTGAACCTAGCAAAGTGGGACCAGCCGTTTGTAGAAAGCCAGCAAGCAGTACAGTTGCCTCTATCGGAGTCAGGTGTGAGGAATGCATAAAATCTGGGTCATTCTGGAAATGCGACGCGTGTCTCTTTCAGTTGTCACCAGGAAAAAGAGCTGAACCAAGCAAAAGTGGCAAAGGAACTCTTTCATCAAGCTCAGGCTTTAAGTCAGCAATAGGCACTTGGGATTGTGACACCTGTTTGGTCAGAAATAGATCTGAGGCCAAGAGATGTGTGGCTTGTACAACACCGAAGCCTGGGATGATGATGAAGCAAGTTCCCAGGGGACAGTGATTTGAGAAAACACTTTCACTATGACTTCTTTATGGTCCTGAAGCCCTGTTATCTCTGGTACCATAAAACTGGGAGCTAAATTCAGGGCTATGGCATTGGGGCAGTGTCCCCTATACTGTGTACCCTTCTTCCTATTTACAATAAACATCAAGAAATATTCTTATTTTATTGTCTTATTAAAACATTAGGTTGGTTAAAAGAGCTGTGCTAATTGTGGCTGAGAACACAGCAAGTGCAGTCCCTGTTTCTGGCAGCACTGCTGTACCTGCCTCTGTCCTCCGGACACTGGTTTTGGGTCTGTAGTGTGTGGACACATCTCCCAAACTCTTATGCATTTGACTCTATGGGTGAATGTTACGAAAGCATTTGGTGAATGATGTGTCCTAAAATTGTTTCCCTTTCAAGCCCTGATTGAGGGAAAAAGCAAATTTTGTGCAAAAGCACACACACTTTTGCTTTGGGAACACAAACCAGTATTACAGTTTATGGAGATGTGACAAAGGCTATTTTTGGTTTTCCCCACAAGAGTAGTGTCTCTGGTTGAAGCCCACATGCCACCTCTTCCATTTCACCCGTGGCCACCCTGTGTTTGTATCGGCCAACAAGCCTGTGAGCAACAGTCCCCTCAATCCAGTGTTTTTCAGTCTTTTCTCTTTTCTCAGGATATCAAAAGAGCAGGTCCATGTTCCACAGCTATTGTTGTCACTCCTTTGCCTTTGAATCAGGGCCCAGAAGTGTAATTATCTGAGAGTTCTCAGCCTGAATCATCTGCTTTTGGCACCATGTCCACCAGGTGCCATCCTCCCGTGTTTGAACAACAGCCCAGTCAGTCTGCATCTGGATTTTAACAGCCTCCAATCCCATTTTAGTCCTGCAATTTTGCAGCAGCACTACAAATCTCAACATTACAAAAAATAACACATCAAGAGCACTCACATCTGAGACCAATCCTGGCATACCTGCAGCCTCAGTTCAGTCTTCTGCCCAGGAGGTTGTGCATTTACCTAGTCTGTAGCAGCAGCTTTTAGGGTGGAGTCAAAGAGATGTTCTATTTTCTGCATCTTGTTTGTAGTCACAATGTAAACACCATTGTTAGGGAAAGGCCACCATGATGGGACATACAACAGTTTGAACACAGCCAATACCCTTCATCCAGATACTGGAGTGTAGCACAAGCTGGCTTTATCTGAAGTCAGATGTCAAAGGCTTCTTGAATTTTGATTTTCCCCCTTCTTGCTTTACACAAGACACCTTTCCATCTCTCCAATCCCATTTAAACACATGCACACACAGAAATATAATAATTAGACTAGCAAATGATTCTTCAAAAAATATTTCAGCATCCAGCATGAGTCACTGATTTGGCAGAGACCGGCTGTACAAAGCAATAAAGCCTGTGCCACAAACACTTTTTT